GGAGGGGTTGGCATGTATGATGACACAAGGTAGTAAAGTTGGCTCCTAGTTTGTGTATCTTACCCAATTGATCTTGTGAGTGACTCTGTTAGAGGAGATGAGTTCACGCAATAGCAATTGCTGACAGTGTAAGTACAGAATTGCCAATTAGCTAAACAGGTTTATATTACAGTATTAGTAGTTCACATCATGGGATCTTTTTTGCCAGTATAAAAAGTATTAAAATAATAATAGGTTTTACCCTTTCAGGCAATAAAACAGGTGTTAAGATGTTTAAACACCAAATAGAAACCTTTTTCAAAGAATCAAGTCTGCATGATATAGCTGCCGTTTGAGACGAGGCTCAAAAGAAACCTGTCTCTGGTGTGGACCAATCAGTTTCTTAGACAATGCATATATTATCAGGGTATGTTTTTGGTTTGCATTCTGACCACAAGTATTGTGGTGAATGCAGACATAATTCCTTGTAAAAGGTTTCAGTTTGGTGTTTTAACATCTTAACACCTACATTTTGATTTAAAGCTTTCGTGACTGCAGTAATTCATATACTTAGTTTTTTCGGTAAAGTCACGTTGAAGAGAAACAACAAAATAATGAAATATATATAAAACAATAAAAAATTCTCACGACGTTTCGACCACACCTGAAGACGACCGTTTGAGTTATGGTCGAAACGTCGTGAGAATTTTTTATTGTTTTATATATATTTTATTATTTTGTTGTTTCTCTTCAACGTGACTTTACCGAAAAAAACTAAGAATATATCTTAACACCTGTTTTGTTGCCAGAAAAAAAGGGGAAAAGCCTATGATCAAAAGTGGGTGACCTACATTAAAATGTTTTAACATAATGAAAGGAAGCCACTCACTTTTCTTTCGTTATGTTGGTTTCGATACCATGGAACTCCAACTCGTTCTGTTTTGAACTATATAATGATGTATGTTATGACTTTCCAATAACTTTTGGTAGCTTATCACCATTCCTGAATCTTTCCCAATGGGGCAGGACAAACGTTTGAATACGTTTTTTTATGCAGTTAGGCCACCTGCTGGCCACAGCAAGAAGTTGTATTTCTATTCGGCAGATAAATCCAAAGGAGACCTGGTAAAGATGTTAAAATTGTCCACATGATTTACTCCATTGATCTTCTGTTTTGAGCATTGGCACATAATATCAGACTTGGTAAGGCTTTCTTGGTATTTAAGTTAGGTATTTTGCTGTATTTTAGATTACACTCACTGACAAGTCATTAAACATATACACGATGCTTTGTTTCTTATTAATATTCTTTGGTTCTTTCGGTAAATATATGAGAAAAACATTTAGATTATCTAGTGTATTTTTTTCACAATACAAGAGCGCAGTGAAATTAAATTAGAGAAATTAATGTCCTCTATTTAGTCTACGGTGGCGAGATGTTAACTACTTGCCTAGTATATAGGAGGTCATGTGTTCAATCCCAACCCTGACGCCTGCTGTATATTTGAAGTTTGCGTGTCTCTCTCCCCGTGGTCGCGAGGATTTTTTTCCTGGTCCTCCGGGTTTTCCCTCCACATTTAGAATCAACATCACTCGTTTAGAGTATTTGGCTGCTATACATTTCCACATTATAAGCCACTTCGTTGAGCTATCATTTGTGGCCAGGTCGCTTCTGAAAAAGAGCTAAATGGCTCAGTGGGTCCCTCCCTGGTAAAATAAAAATTGTAAATTGTAAAATATATTTCTGTAAGTTCTTTAACCAGCTGAGAGCTCATTGAGATTCATTAATGTCCTTTAAACACCGGAGAGCCAAATTAAATTACTTTCATGTCCTTCACTCCTTAAGTGTTACAATATTTAACCATCTAAAATCCCAACGAGATGCATGATTTAGTCAAACCCTTTATTAAACCAAAGTGAGAGGTAGTCGAGATTACATATTTCCAACATTGGCTCAAATAACCCTTCAACCACCCTGTAAATCTTTCCACTTGTCACAAATTAGGCCCCTGGCACGAGTGACAATAATGTTGAACGACTGAAGAGACGACTTATAACGACTGTTATAAACGTCTTAGGCAATGTTACAATGTTACTGTTATAAACGTCTTAGGCAATGTTACTAAGAGCCCTCTAGGTGGCAGTAGGAGCCCATAAGTATGGAGTTAGTTACTCTGCATCGCCTCGTGTGTACTCCAGTGGCTGGATAAAACGTGCATTGACTCTAAGCAAGAACGAGTGGATTTTCGATTGATGCAAATGGTTTGGGAATGATACAATTAAGTTAATGGTGTTAATACAATTATATATATGAGACTACAAAAAAATAAACGAGGTACATTACATATCGTACACTATGAGGCAAACTATATTTTTTTCCGGAATATCGTACTATTGAAGTGGCATAATTGAATGAATGGACGGCGAGAAGTTGCGGTGGGGGTCGGTGAATTGTTGCACTGTCATGCAGTAGCCCAGGGCACTTTTGTGCTTCGTGGTCATACCTGGGTTAGAATTAATTACGTGACCCAAAAAACATGGGAACCTCCTGGCACTGACATTCCTGCTCGAAGACACTGGTGGAACCATCAATTGCAACAATCATCATGCACCTGGGGGGGGGGGGGGGTCAGACATTTGTGACGATGTGTGACGAGGGGAGGGGGGGTTGAGAAATGTGACGTCACATTAAAATGCGCAATGTCAAATAAATAATTAAATAGCCTTTTTCTGAAATGTTTTCTCCTAGAACATCAGAGTGCAGCGGCACGTTAAATACGCACTGCAATGACAATAGTTTAAAGCGATTTGAAGCATGTTTTATTTTTTGGGGGAGAGGGGCAGAGCTTTGTGACGTCATATTTGAGGGGGGGGGGGTCTGACTTTTTATGACGCCGTGTGACGCGGCGACGGGGGGGGGTCTTCAAAAATCGTCCAAAATCGCGTGACGTCATTTATGGACGGCCCCTAAACTGCTGTAGGAATAACACATTAAATCGGAAGAAAAAGTCCAGTCAGCGTGAACCGCATATCGACCGACTATCATTATTGAGCGTGCAGACTTTCAGGGGAAATTGTTTCTCAACGTGCGCCGGTATTTGCTGGGCGTTGGTGACGCCAGCAACGCCCTCCCGCATTCCAGCACTTGAAGAGGCAGCAGCAGCATCAGCAGCGAGGGTTGCTGGATCGCAGAGACGTCTGTGGATGTCCCCGTTGGGGTAGAGCAGGCGCAACGACACCCCCCTGGCTCGCCGCGGAGGAGGCGGGTGGAGAGCAGCAGGGGCGGACCCCACCTGCTCCACCGGCGCGGGATAAAGGGGCCGTCCATAAATGATGTCACGCGATTTTGGACGATTTTTTTTACCCCTCCCCCCACCGCCACCCCCCATCGTCACACGGAGTCACAAAAAGTCAGACCCCCCCCCTCAAATATGACGTCACAAAGCTCTGCCCCCTCCCTGTGACCAGTCACAAGCTAATCCCTCAGCTATTTGATATATAAACCCCTTTGTCAAGGTGCCTCACTTTTCCCAACCAGCTTAAAAGTCGCTACGAATCTTAACAACGTTCATTGAAGCTCTGTCGTCCCGACAGGTTTGTACCTTTCACCTGAAGAAGGCTACTTGCGTTGTGACCGAAACGTCGTGAGAATTTTATTGTGTTATTTTATTTGATTAATTTTTTATTTTATTCTCATTCTACATGACTTTACCGAAAGAACCAAAGAAGATATAAAACATGCTTAAAATCGCTTTAAACTATTGTCATTGTAGTGCGTATTTAATGTGGCGCTGCACTCTGATGTTGTAGGAGAAAACATTTATTGAAAAGTCTATTTAATTATTTATTTAAAGTTGCGACTTTTGGTGTGACGTCACATTTCTCAACCCCCCCCCCCTCGTCACACATCGTCATAAATGTCTGACCCCCCCCCCCCCCCAGGTGCGTGACGTCATTTATGAACGGCCCCTAAGGGCTGTTGCCATTTCTTCGGGTGCTCGGTTTTTCCCTCGCACGTGTAACTACTCATTCGTTAATGTATATGTGTATGTCGAGGACTGCAGAGCTTGGGGGAATCGAGTTGCTGCCTTCCTGCTCATCTGCTGTTCCTCCTTGCACCTCCAGAGTCGTTTCCTATCTTTCACGATGAGCGAATGCTCAAGTTTCAACGACTGTATTATACTGGTAGGAACCCCCTGGTTACACCAGCCCAAAGGGGATTATTGTGTCCGTCCGTCCGTCGTGCATCCAAAAATGGGAGGGGTGGGGCTAGGTGGGGAGGGGAGGGTGGGGAGGGGCTGGGTGGAGAGGGTGGGGTTGGGTGGGGGGTGGGGCTGGGAGGGGAGGGGCTGGTCACCACGTGGTGCCCTTATAAAACTCAACGTTTAACATACTCACGCCGGCTTGTGCCCGCCCTCACAGTCGGGCATATTTGCGGAAGACACCACGTGGTGCCGCCGTTGACCCTGGCCACTGACCGAGCAACCCAACGTTCCTACCAGCTCCCTCCGCAGGAATGTGTTTATAACGTTACCTTATATCGCATGAACGATTTAGCAATGTCAAGAAGTGCGCAGTGTTACAACGTTTTACTTTTAAATTATACGATAATACCAGGGCATTACCGTATATCGCAAGGCCTTAAACTCACTGCAGACGTTTTTGTTATGGTCCCATTATCCACGAATAAGAACCCTTCACCGGGCAGTGAATTTAAACATCAAAAGCCACGACAGTACCATTGTGTTTATTCAGACTTTATCATGCAATGTCAAAACAGTAAACCATTGCATGTTCCCGTCTAGACAAATACCGTAGACCCTTTCTTTCCCGGGTTACTCTTGTAAATGAGGCGATCGCCATTCTCTTGAGTCCTAGCCTGGTTCAACACAATGAACTTGGCTGGACTTGACACGGACCAAGTAGGGTTGTTTGGTAGGAGGCTACACATACTTTACCACCATCACAGCAGTTACAAGATTTATATTTTTCGTGAGTTTTGTGATGCAGACGTAACAGTGTGACATTTGCCAGAGTTCTTTATTTACAACAAAAATACAGTACCGTGCATTTAAAATATAACAATACTGCAATACCCCATGGTCATAAATGGACATTTTCAAGTGCCGTCAACATAAAATGATGGGCATTTGCTGCCCATAAATTGTTAAGTTACAATGTCCAAGTTAATCCCTAGTGCAAATTGGAACGTAAAAAAATTATCAACCAGTGGCTGATTCTTGAATACAGCAAATGGTAGTAAAATCGTACGTGGTCTGTGATACGATAAGTTATTACGACGAACACGGTAGTTAAGAGTGCTTAACCCACAACCGGACGATTGCAAATTCAAGTCCCTGTGGCGGGAGGCCCAGCACATCCTGTGGTCGCGTTTGGGGTTGATAAAAATATGAGAACTACTGTGAAGGCAGTCGTTGGCCTATAGATGGCATGGTAATGTGAAATGCCCAACCCAGCTCTCAAGGCTGTTAGCAGGATGTTGAACAATGCCAAATACTCGTTTGGACAGCACTTTGAAATTAGCTACGTTCGAGCTCACTCGGTTGAGGGTATTTCTCCAAGTTACAAGCCCGAGTTAAATTTCCTTTTTATCCCTCCGTGCTGGATAAAATGTACACCTTCCGACAAGGCTGCACCATCAACATCGGTCGTCCTTTATGATTGAGACTGGTTCTTGCCATCGGACGATATAATTAACATCAATGGCCCTGGACCACCAACAATGATAGCTGCCACCACCATCCAATCGCTCACGTCAACTTTGCGACTAAGCAACGTGACTTTACCGAAAGAACCAAGAATATGAATCACTGCAGTCACGAAAGCTTTAAATCAAAATTTAAGCTTATAAGGTTAGCTTATGATGGATATTTCATCATCAACGTCGATACAGCACGTTGCGAAAAGTCACAGTTTTAACAAACACGCAAACGCGCGCAATTGCAATTGTTTCAAAGGCAGCATTCGTTTTAAATAGCACAAATACGCATTCTGTGAACGTAGTAAAAAAAATCGCACGCCCGTCGGTTGTACAATCGCGCGATACCTCACGTGGTCACGCCGCGTCGTACAAAGGAGAAACCTTCACCGCCGTCCCAATCTGCCGCACACAGAGAGGAGACTTCACACTGACCGGCCCAACTTGAACATGACCAAAATCGTCCCAGCTACGCGACGGAGGCGGACCTATACGCGAGACAATCGCTGCTGCCGAGTCCGGCTTTGCCGCTCCCCTTCCCCTAATATCGACTTCACGTCGGAGGTTGTCTTTAGGGGGGCGGGCGAGCGGTTGCGAGCGACGCGTCAAATGTCGCTTGGAGTCGCGGGACGCTGTGGCACCGCTGCGTGCAGACGTCTTCTGTCCCCCAAAAGAGAAAGCAACTCCACGGTTGAGATCCTCGGCAGGTGCTCGTCACCCCTGTAGGAAATACGTAACATTTCATACCTCAGGGTTAGGAGTGATACAAAGTTAAACGCATAAATTATGTGCAGTTGCACAACGGGCATCCTGTTGGTCCGATTTCGGAAGCTGAACAGAAGGCGTCACGTGGTCGAGCACCAATTGGGTCGAGGCTCAAAAGAAAGCCGTCCCTTTGTTGTGGACCAATCAGTTTCAAGGACAATGCATCATATATTATCTTAGTATGTTTTTTGTTTGTATTTTGACTGCCAGGTATTGTGGTTAACGCAGACATGAATCCTTGTAAGAAGGTTTCAGTTTTGTTGTCAGAAAAAAAGGGGAAAAACCCCTATAATTACATTTTGGTACTGGCAAAGGAGGTCTAATGCTGAACAAAGTTGTGCTGGGCAACAGCGAGAGAGTGATGCAAGCGTAACTTGCACGACGAGGCCATGCGCCCTTTGCGCTGAGCCGTCTCTAGTGTGGCTCGTTAAAGGTGCGCCGTGACAATCAGCGTTTAATTTAAAGGTCAACACGTGCACCGTTAACACTGCCCCTTATAAGAGAAAACTAAATATGTAATTGACGAATGTTTCAAGTGATGGCTCTTCTTTAAAAAGAGTGAGAGTCTTCATTTGTATCCTCGTGTACTGATGCGAATGGGATCCATTATTTAATGTGCTTGGTTATTTACATAAGTAGGTTTATGTTATTATATACTATTATTTATTATTTGACATGGGGAGGTATTCACTTTACAGTGGATAAAATATAGTGGTAAAATTTGGCAAGACATGTAATATTTTGGTTATTATATTAAACAAACAAGCCTTTCACACATAGCCTCATGCATATTATTAAGTTATTGCAACATTTTCTATCATAGTATCAGTGTGTTGTTACTGTACAATGTACTTGGATGTATGGTATGTCGACAAATAAAATAAGCGCAACATATATTGGTCAATAACACTGTGGCCTGAAATATGTATATATAATAGACAACGTTTCAGGCAATGGCCCTTCATAGCACATAAAAACAGAGGCCAGAGAGATGGTAAGGGTTGGAGACTGAACTTTAACACCATGGGACCGAATGTCAATTACATTTTTACAAATAACAGTTTAAAATTGGCATGTGTGATAGTTATCTCTTAGTAGCTGTCGCGTTACAAAGACCTTCAACAATCAGACATCTATTGCTAAATAAACTAACTTGTATTTATAATGTCAATTTGAATTTTAAACTGCAGATACATGGGGGGGGGGGGGGAGATGGGGCGGAGGGTGGACTTTGAAACGTGTCCAAGTATGTGTAAATATAAATATAGTTTCCTCGTTAACCAACTAGCTTTCCATAATTAACAACACGGCATGATGATGTTTTTTTCTCTCTCTCTAATAAAAAATATGGAACAAATGGCCTCATCGTGTAAACGGCCGCCCACCAGTTTGTAATGGCACATGATGGGCGTGTGGCGTGTGACCTCACACCGATGTAATTCAGAAAGTGCAGTCATGTGCTCCCTGCTCAGCCGACCACTGTGGAAAGCCCCCCTCCCACCCCGCAGCCGTCTTTTCCACTCGCGCTAACCGCAGGTTCTGCTCAGCCGCCCCCCCCCCCTTTTCTTGTTTTGCGTAGAGAGCGGGTAACGTGCGCCGATTGACCAGTGCCGGATTATCCTAGTAGCAAATGTAGCCACATATGCTGTGGGCCCCCGCACTTTCAAAGGCCCCGCGCTAAACGCTTTCAAAGCTGTCAATTCTGGTTCAGTGATTCTGCACTTGCTCTATTACTATAGTACTATACTGCCTTCAACTTTTATGAACGACTGGGTGTTCAAGGTTAGCGATTTGTCATATTATCTGGCTGTGTAGCAAATAAAAAATGCAATAACTTTACTATGCAAGTAAAAAAATTCGTGTTCAATATTTTTGTGTTTGTTTAATTTAGGGCCCCTTTATAACATATGCTACAGGCCCCGCACTAGCTTATTCCGGCACTGCATTGGCCCGCGATGGGGGTTCACCATACGTCGACAAAATCCAATGTCTGCCCGATCGATCTTAACTGCTCCAGACAGGAGTGGTTTCCTGTGTTGGTCCGTGCTCAACTCCTGTTTACAATCTCTCGAGCCCGCGGTGAAAAGAGCCGCATTTTTATGGCAGTGACGAGCACTTTTTAGAGCGGGCAGCTGCCGTGATTTACGACAAAGTGGGGGTGGCATAACCGTGTTTGGCATCGTGGGGCTCCCGGTCACATTTTGTAAATGACGATTAAAACAGGTCCCTGCAGGGTGGGCTGGTAGGACAAGTCTCTGCGCTGTCTATTGCTGATTTTACACCCCAACAGCACGAGATTTCACTTCGTTAAAGTATTGAAAGGGGACGGACAGACGGACACATTAATCTATTGCAGGCTGGTACACTCAGTTTACAACTTCGTTCCTACCAGTAAAACCCTTATCGTAAGAGAAGAACAGTGCAGGCCAGAAAACCTTCAAAGTTTCAAACGACATGCAGAAACGTGTCTGTGTGTGTTATTTGAAACGTATGGGCTTTGATTCAAGGAATTGCATTTCTCCCCTCTACAGTATTGCCTCGTTATTCGCGAGGGGTACATTCCGGAAATGCTCATGAATAGCAAATTTCGCGGATAATGATAATAGCCTACGATGAATTACCTTAAATAAATGTATACCAATAGTAAATCTCATCACATCACATTATCTCATCACATTCTCATCACTTTATCTCTCTCTCTCTCTCTCGATGCAGCAGTCGTGTAGAGTTTTAGATGCGATTCGCGGATAGCCAAAATCACAGATAGCAAGTTCGTCAAGAACGAGGGAATATTGTACAGAGCCTAGCGCCTGGGCCCCTTCGGTCCATGGGTCCCGGTTCAATTACACCGTATGTAGCATTGTACAGTGTAGTATAGCACACTCGATAGCTACTATGCCTCAAATAGATGCAGAGCTGAGTCGATCCACAAATAGGATTTGAACTCGCAGACGACCTCGTCACGAGATGTTTTTTTGTGTACTTGCAATGATTATGCTGCCAAGTCAGAAAACTAAAAAAAAACCGATCACATTAAAATATTTTGAATTTTAATGTACTGTAAAATACTTGGCAAAATTGTTCCAAAGTTAAGTCATCACTGATTAACAACTTACAAACATACCTTCAGTGCTATATTACCAAGTTTAATATAATGAATGTGGTTTGTTTTTATTTTTACTTGTAAACCAGTTTCAATACAGTCCCTTGAAGTTCACATCCAAGAATCTAAACAGATGACAGTGACTGGCTATTGGCTATCTGATGGTCAGTCGTCAACGAAGCCCAGTGGCTGAGAGGGTGGGTGGGTGGCCGGTGGGACATTGACACTATTTATCGATGCCTCTTTCGTCTGACGTATTTTCAGATTTCAAGGTCACTGTTATCTTGCGAAGGCATGCGACCCGAGGCCAGCACTGAAACCACAACTGGCCACGATGGAAATTTGTAAATATGTCACCAAATATTTCCACCCCATGGTCACACTGTAAAACAATTGCGTTTTTATAGTCAGTGGAGTACTGCTGTACCTGCTAATGACCCAGCGGTGGTTCAGACGCACGGTCATTAACAAGAAAATGGATCACAAACCGAAAAGTGCACAGAGAAGCGAAGCGAGATGCATTCTTGGAATTACACTGAGAGACGGAAAGAGGAACAACATGCATTAGAGAACAAATGCAGGTTAAAGACATGATTCAAACTGTTAAAAAAAAAATAGGAAGTGGGATCGGGCAGGATGCATCCCGAAGAGGATTGATGGCCAGTGGTCAAATACAGTGAGTGGCAGCCAAGGAATGGAACGTAAGTGAAGAGGACATCGACTGGACAGCTCGTGTGCCGGTGCTGTGCGGTTTGTTGCATCGCAGCACTGTGAGAGAGGTGGCGACGGCTTGCCGATCATCGTAATTCTAAGACAACATTTTTTGTTTCATTCCCCATGGCTACCGTTCGCTCGACCCGCCTACTAAAGGAGGGCCTACAAAAAATCACGAGGGCCTGATTTGGCCCATTGGTTGATTCCAGCCCTGGTCGTGTGAGGTCCCGGGGGGGGGGGGGGGGGGCGAGTCAGTCAATGCGTTTGCGACTGACCTGTGTGCAGGCAGAAGACCGGTAGGAGGCGTGGGGGGGGGAGCTCTATCTCAGCCGTGTTTGTCGGATCTCAGAGTGAGCGCGCGTGTCAGCCTCGTGCGCTCCTCCCTCAGCGAGCCCATTCGCCGGTGCAGCCCTGCAAAACACATGCGGGGCATGCTCTGTCGTTGGCAACATCGGGACGCGAGGCAATCGTTCATTTTTCATTGCTACCCATCAGTGAAGAACCATCAATCCAGTTAGGTATCAATGTTGATTTATACTGGAGAAATCCGATGAGCTACACAGATTTTTTTCCCCCACATGTCCAGTATGATGTGTGGATGTATGTAATGTATATGTAAAGTATATACTGGCATATTCTTGGTTCTTTCGGTAAAGTCACGTTGAAGGGAAACAATAAAATAATAAAATATATATAAAACAATAAAATTATCACGACGTTTCGACTGCAACACAAGCAATCATCATCAGATGTGAAAACCAATGGCAGTTAATATATATTTTTTATATCAAAGATGAGAGGGTAATGTTTCAATTCAGTTATATCGCCCTTTTAAGCATGATGGAGGAGTAACATTTTTTGTGCATAATCGTTTCTTGAATAAGCCCGCTCAATTTGTTCCAGCAGTTGGTCCTGCTTGGTCCCCAGTTATAAGATAGTTATTCAGCGCAAGGACATTTTCCTGCATACAACAGTAATGTAGAATTTGTAACGCGCACAGATTTAGTTCAATCTCAGAACGAGAGAGAGAACTCTGAAAAGGCACGAGAAGCCACAGACAAGTGGAAAGGCATCCAGAACCAGAGGCACCAATTGCCCAACCTCTGTGGTCCTATATTTAGATGTTAGGCTCACTCCAAAACGATACTAATACGATGGGTTTCCCTTTTAATGTGCAAGCGCTAACCCTGTCTCACATCCAGACGCGAATCCTTAACCGAACTATGCTTCAGGAAGATGACAAAACCAAATGAAATAAAAACGGGGAAGAGCGCTCTCTCCGTCGGCTCACCTCCGAGTGCCTCCCGTGTCGGCCACCCGGCCGACACGGAGTTGACCCTCATGCGAGCGACTGTCGTGCTGGACTGGTGGACGGAGTGACGGGCCGGCGAGGAAAGCCCAGGCATTGCAGTGCCCCATGCCTTCCTCTGCCACACGGCCGCTCCGCATGTGCAGCGGGACCTCATGGCCTCCTGCCAACGAGTTGGGAAAAAGTACACTTATTAAGAGTCGTAGTATTTAATGAGTCACGCAAATATTGATTTACAAAAACAAATAGTGCCGTCGTGTCCAATGGCTCAGTCGATGCACAGAGCCCTGTTCACCTGTAGGTCATGGAGTCAAAATTGTGTCCATATCATGAAAGACAACGGGAGGACAATGAGACCATTGGTTGAAGGTTGTTCATAAGTCTGAACGTACCGATTGTTGAGACATGTACAGTTTTACTGCAGGACTTGTAAATTGAGTCTTTGATGTCCTTTATCCAAATTAGGGCAGTGATGCTGATATAATATTGCAGACATTATTCCTTGTTAAAGATTTCAGTTAGGTGTTTTAACATCTTAACACCTGTTTTGTTGCCAGAAAAAAGGGGGAAAACCTATTATCATATCGGTGTTCGATCAATTCATTGAATCAAGTCATTTTGTAAAACCGGATGTGAGCCCTCACCTGCTGTAACTTCTGAGCCTGCAGCTCGGTCTGAAGCTGCTGGTTTTCCTGCTGGAGCCTCTTGTTGGCCTCCTTTTGATGGCCCATCTTCTCCATGAGACAGCACAGCTGGTCCAGGTGATCCAACCCCGTAACTCGGCGAGTCGATGCCTGCCTGGACGGCTGGTGAGAAACATAGCAGTGGAGCTATTATTCATTTCGCAAGCTCTGCATCGTCTCCGTTTCAACTGTGGTTGTCGCAAGGTGGCAGGATGGCTCAGAGGTCAGAGTGTTGAGCTGGCACTGTAGTTGCCTGTGATTAAACTGGGCTCTCAGGTGAATTGATTTGATGGTCTCTGGCTGGTCACCAATGACTGCACAAGCAAACCGTGACATTAAATTTGGTTTCGCACTTAATTTGTTTAAATTCTGGCGCTGAACGTTGAATGGATTGGCTTGACTCGTATGCAAGTTGCAAAGTGTGGACTGGAGGGTCACCTGAAGGGATTTTTTCTAGAGGTAGCGCCGTAATGTTCGCTTCTGCGGCCCGTTCTCTCCGACACGAGGGCGGCTGCACTGCTCCGCGATGAATTATTCGTGCCAGGGCGTGGAACCGATAATAATATAATCGGGATAATGTTGAGGTAGTAAAATAAATATACACAATATTGCTGACAGAAAAAATCACGGAGGTGAGTGCTGCCCCATTGCTCATATGAGCAGGGAGACATTTCGACTTAACGACCACTTTTTTTTACAGGCACTTCCTGATTAGTGTTGAGAGTAAAAAAAATATCGCGTTGTTAATACGTATATTTATAATATTGTACTCACTACTATCCACCTCCGAGCGGATGGAATTTTAGGCGAGATTGCATATGTTGATTTTATTTGGATGTTGTCCGAGTCCGTTTGACGGCAGAGGTTAAACAAGAGGGCTTTGCAAACACAGGAGATTAGATACGAAGCACCATCCTCACTGGGACTTTTATTTATTGATTTCACGTTTATTTTAGAAGAAAAAAATGTGTAAACAGTTTTTGATACTACATGTGATATTTTTTCGGTTGTGTTTTCCCTTGAACTTTCCAACTTTAAATGTCCATGCTAAATGAATACATATTATGTAGGAAAAAAACATTAGGCCTTTGTCAATCCACTGCTGGATCAAGGTATCCCCATCCATGCCGGGTTGACTGGTTGTTTGACCATACTTCACCATGCTTGTCAGTGTAGATTGGTAAATGTGGAGGGGGAGGTTGGTGGGTGCCAGGGCCGGTTCAAAGATCACTCGCCACTGATTGTAGCCGTGGCCGGGAATCGTATTCTGGCGTCCGTCTTTTATAGTGCAGTGCGCGCTAACCACTGCGTCAAGACACTACTTCCGATTGTAATTCAATACAGGGGAAAATAATACACGGTCACCCACAATGAAAAAACAACAACAATAGGGTTGGTAATCAGTAGAGATTATATTGTTTTGGCGAAGGAGTCGGTTTAATTACTATGTTTATTTCCACAGAGGAGAAATGAGATTAATCTATTAAATAAGTATTTTTTGTAGACTGAGAATTTTTTTTTATTTCTTTGGGCTGATTAAATTGTTTTAAGCTATGTTTTATTTTTGTAGGCTCACATGGTTTTTCCGTAAATATTATTTTCTCCTATCAGCGTGGAAATCTGAACTTTTCCTCTTAATCTCAACTCTAGCTAAAAACTGGCAGTGCCCTATTACTCACCCTCGGTTCCAGCATATAACTCGAACTGGCGCTGCACGATACCGTCTTTGGTTCAAAGAGAATGGGTGCCTCAGTGGGCACAGCACTCGCAACTGAGTCAGTTGGCACGTGGCTTACAGAGTGACATTAAAAATAGAAACTAAACAATTTTTTTATTTTACCAGGTAAGGCCCACTGAGCGATATAGCTCATTTTCAGAAGCGACCTGGCCACGAATGATAGCTCAACGAAGTGGCTTATCATGTGGACATTTATAGGAGCCAAATACTCTAAACGCGTGCTTCTAAATGTGGAGGGAAAAACCGGAGGACCCGGAGAAAAATCGTTCGGCGACCACGGGGAGAGAGACACGCAAACTCCAAATACACAGCAGGCGTCAGGGTCGAGATCGAACCCACGACCGCCTGTATACCAGGCGAGTGAGTTAACATCTCGCCACCGTGACGCCCTATTCACCACCGCCCCATAATACTCTGGTAGACATTATTAACTCGTACAATCCATCTGATATAAAGTATACGTTAAGACCGTGCGTGTAACCATTCATTTATCTTCCACTGACATGTAATGAATTGTCACGATTCTGCATCATGATATGATTAACGATCTATAATTTGTTTTCGTCTCATTCATCTTGTCCTATTTGTATTGCCTCTTGTTGATGTTCAATCTCGTTTTTCCTGTCCTTTTTAAAATTCAGTTATGCTAAAGATGGCGTTAGCATAACATTTACTGTAAATAAAAACGTTATTCATACATTTTAATAGATTTATTGATTAATTGTTAAATGGTTATGAAAAACTCCGTTGCCTTGTCCTCAATACAGAATTAGAACATTGCCTAGTACTGTCATAAGAGATTAAAAGTGAGATTGTGTGGTTGTTGTACCTAAATTGTCCATCTTTGGTAAACCACTCAACTACCAAAGCAGAACGTAGCCTCTATCCTGCCTTAGCTACATCCAGCCAATAACTGATTAATTATGCATTTGTGTTTATCAAGGACTGGCTGATAAGCACAAATCCTTCACGTGTGACAATGCATGGAGTATGGCAAGCTACCAAAAAAAGCTTTACATTCAATACCTTGACTGGGCGATCCTCTTGGCTTTCCACCGTCTCGTCAAGGGCCCGATGCTCGTCGAACCAAGACCGTCCTCCTTCCACCGGTGACGAATTCCCCTGGCACGAGTTTGGCGGGCAGGTGACCTCGGCGACCTCGGCGACCGAGCTCCGTGTCTCATGCTTCACAAACACCTCTTCCTCGTCGTCTTCCGGCAGGAGGCCCGGCAGGAGGCCCGGGTGAAACTGGCCAAGGCTGTCGCCGCTGCCGGGGCGTGCGGTGCCGCCGTGTCGCGCGCGCTCCACGTCCACCGTTGACTTCGCCTTCCCGACTCGGTGCCCGTCGCTTGCGACGACGGTGTCACTGAAGAAGCGTCGTCTGGCCACCGCCTTCTTGCCAGACGCTGTTGGAACGCCGTCCTGGGGTATGGCGGCGGGCAGCTCCCTCTCTTGACTCACGGCCATCTGCAGTGTGGAGTGCTCGTTGTCCGAGTCGTGCAAGGCATCGAGACTGGCGGTGTTCGCGCAGGGAGATGCGTCTACGTTATGAGCGCAGTCTTTGACACAGCACAGCGTTTGACCAGACAGGCAACTCAACGTCAGTTGTATGTTCTTACAACCTGCAGATTCAGGTTTTCCTGCAGCGGTGAAATCCCTGACATCCTCCACCAGTGCTTCTAAACTGTTCGTGGACTGCAATGTAACCACTGGTACACTCACTTCCACATCATCTGAACACACAGCTTTCATCCGGTGATCCACGCCATTACATTTTTGCCCAACTTCCTCTTGAGCTGGATCACGACGATGGTTACCGAACACCTGGCGCGGACCTTCTGGGACCTCTATCTCCTGGGTGAGGGGCCCACATTGGTCTAAGAGGAGCTCGATTGCTTGGGCGAGCGCAGCGTTTTCAATGGATTGGGCAGAAAAAGATTCAGCGTCTCCATTGCCGCTGATGCTGCCGATGCCGCTGCTGCCGCTGATCTCTGGGTGTTGACTTGACAAAGCGGTGGCCTCCAACCGGTCCCCAGCGTCTTCTGCCGGTGCCACGCGACCGCGCACCGCTCCTTCGTGTCGTGGCATGGCGGGCCTTCCGAGGTGTACAGGAGCGTTCTTCTTCATGCCGCCCGGCGCCGAATGGACGAAGCTCATCGCCTTGTATTTGGTCAACTTCACGCCGTTGTTGAATTTGTCCGCAGACTCGTCTGCGCACGGGACAGGAGAGCGTTAGTACCGACGTGCCGATCTTCGGAGCTAGACAGATGGACACGGTATATATCGCTGAAACCACACATACGGGCAGCAGTACGACATTGCACCTGTGGCTCGATTAGTCGTACATATGTCAGGTGAAACGTGAAAGTAAATTAACGTCGAGCTTAAATGACAACTGCAGAAGTGGTGGGGAGGGTATAACCAGATCACTTGGAATGCGCCCAATGTCATTAGATCTTGTAAGCTAAGCAGGCTTAAGCCTGCATAGCGCTTAGATGGATGGACAACCACCATGTATAACAGGTGTTGTAGGCTAAATGTATACATGGTAGGCAGCGGAGATCAGTGTAAGAAAATCCGTTCTCCTCTACCGCTATGCTCCCTGCGTCTCTGCACCCGACCGTCACGAACCCCGTATGGACCAGTGTGGGATGAGGTGAAATAAAACCCTTGCGAAAAGCGTACAGCAAAGGGGGAGGCTGTGATGCAGCAGTGGATTGGGAATGGTGTTTCACATGCACGTGATAACTGTGGTAATGCAGTGGAGTGGTTAGCTCGCTGCGCTACGAACCCGGCGACCCGAGTTTGATTCTCGCTCACGGCTACCATCAGTGACGATTATCTGAACTGGTCCTGGGCGTCCTCTAGGTCGACTCAGCCTCAAGCGAGTAACTGGTGCGATGTGTAAACATTTCCACGAGGGAGACAAAGGCGGCCGGGCGTAGTGTTGTCCACCCACCCCCTCGTGTGCCGTGCCGGCCTTCATAGGTGCTCGATAAAAGCACTTGCCCCAATTGTCTGTTAAGGCTATACGGGGGATTTTTGTCTTTGTAATTTAAAACAAACAATTGAGGGACTGTGTGAGCCGTGGTGCACAAGCGCACGTAAAACAAACTCAACACATTCATCATTAATGCTACCGAATAACAGGAAGGCTAACCTTTAAAGTTATGGTTTGAAATATGACCAAGGCATAAATGTGTCCGTATTTTAATCTACGTTTCTGTTTGGAAGTAGTGTTAATGGTGAATGTGGTGAGTGGTTTTAGTTTTATCTGTGGGAAAGTGTTTATATGATTTTGAAGACAATCATATCTGGTTTTTTGTGGTCTTTAAATTATGCTGTCCAAGCACAGTGTTTGTTTCACATCTCTGCCAAGCAACCGTATCATGAATCATTTAATCTACATGCTATTTATGAACTGGTTATTATCGCGCCGCTCAGAGAGACTTCAATTATACACAAGAACAGTGAATAAAAATGTAACAAAATATTAAACAGCCAAATAATACTCATGCACCAGCGCAAGAGAGAGGGGTAAATGTAACACAATTCATTGTATAAATATAAGAATGTAATTTGTAAAAGATCATTACAATAATTTTAGAAACAATAAAGGCCTGCACATATACTTTTTATGTTCCGGAAAATATGTATATATATTTTTTTTATCAAGTTTCATAATGCACGATTACTGTATATTAAAAGACACGCTTAAATACTTTAAAAGACAGCTGTAGTTTTGCATAATACTCTACGCTCTTTTAGCATGCAAATGTTCAACAGTTTGTGCATGGTATTAACCTACTTCACAAATTACAACAGGGTCTCTTTACGTCTCCTAGCATCACAATTTTAGGCTAACTAAACTATTAATAATGTACCGTTTACTGACTGCGTGACTTGTCACACGCGGTCTCCGATTATAATGTTAAACATTCTCTCGTCCTGCGTTGTGGACTCCCCCGCTAGCTTGCCCCAATCGTCTCGCGTGCCAGTGGCCAGGCATTGAAACCCGTGAAGGTGAGATGTATTGAGAGCGGCACAATACCTTTGATGAGCGAGTACGTTCTGCGTTTCAACATCTTGAGGAACATGCTGGAGCTGGCTTGCGCGTGGCCCTCCGTGGGTCGCTCCCGACTGCCCTCTGTACCTCACCGACTGGCACCGCGGTGGATGTGACCCGCCGCCTTATATAGACCGCGGCCGGCTTCCGCAGTCGCAGGAAATGTGTCATCGGAATCCGCGTGGTTCTATGTGGGATTTACCAAACATTGGGACGGAGCGTTCCGACCGCATGTGTTTTTGTCCCACGTACTAAAGAAACAAAAACGAATTTGTGCGCAAAATACGCCTCCACGATATTGTTGTTTTGTTTGAGATTTTATTTTTTTAAATAAAATTAAAGCTCGCACTCTTTGTACATTTTCAAAGAGTGAATATATATTTTAGGTGCTTTATAAAATTAAACACGACTTGTATGTCCTTCTAAGCAATTACCAATCACTGGGTAAAATAATAGGGGCAACATTCACTGCATGATTGGTGGATGATGCTTGTGAACAATTTGATACATTTAAAAAAACATTGATAAAAAATATTTTTTGCCAATTAAAATAAGCATTAGGGATTCCATTAAGTTTGACACGGAGGCTTTGACCAAAATAAACCTTAATTATGGATTATATTAAACCCGTAGGATATATTGTTGAACAAAAAAAATTCAACTGAGTAGAATAATAATATTGCGGTGATGTTGGAGATTATTTCGTCTTCTTCGAATTGACGACTTAGAAGGTTATCATTGCCATCTGGACGAAGATGATAGGCGAAAGCAAAATGCTTTCGTAAAAATAAAAACACACAACTACGGACTTCCCCGCTGCGATCGGCAAAGCAAAAAAAAAACCGACACAGATTGCTGCAGTGGACGCTCTCGAAGGGCACTTTCGGCCGTCAACACTTCCCCCACCGCTGCGTGTGTTTGTGCATGGAAACTCAAGCGTGCACCTCAAGTTGTCCAATGCTTTGGGCCTTCACAGCCAAATCTGAACAAAAGTGTTCATCCATAATACAGGTGTGTTTTTTTTTTTGGGGGGGGGGGGGTTAGATCGTGTAAATGTATAAATGTGTCGTGAAACCCGCCACCAATTAGTAAGGTTTGTCACGTAAACAGAACAATGACAATTCGTTACTCGTACAGCACACCGGTGTTGTTGGAGAGCAAAGCCACAACATTTACAATCTGAGTACGACGTTTCGCCAGTAATTACAACTAGCTTCATCAGGCGATAGCTAGATTTGCGGAGAAATCCTCCTGTTTCATTCCTTAAATAGAGGGGTCGATGTGATGGCGTCACATGTGAGGACTTCTTTATTTACGCCATCTAACCCCACCCCCCCCCAAATAAAAATTGATTACGGATTGCATTGGTCGCGAAAGCCGATGTGTTAAACCAAAATTGTTCAGTCGTTACATTGTATTATATTTTGGATGTATAACGCGCCTTTCGCCAAAGCGCCTGACAATGCTTGCCGACTTCGGCGTAGTACGGCCGTTAGCAGTCGGGTTTGGAAAATGAATGACATGTGGCAGCGGGGGCAGGAGGCGATGGTGCAAGGAGGGGTTGAAGGAGGAATGGGTGGAGCATGATAGTGGACGAGGCCGATAGAACGTGGTAGTGCGGAGGTGGGTGGTACGGTATGAAGTGAGTGCACGGAACGATAGGGTCAATGGGTTGCTAGGCCGAGCGTCAGCAGAGGGTGCACAGCTTGTGGATGATGGCGGGGACGCCGTGGTGGCGACGAAACATGAATCTCCCTCACCTGGTACGCCGGAGGACATGGGTTCGATCCCAATTCTGACGGCTATATATAGTTGGAGTCCACGCGTTCTCTCTCCGTGGTGGTCACATGGATTGTTTTTTCTCCTCCGGGTCCTCCGGTTTTGCCCTCTACGATTATAAGGAAGCGTCTCGATTATTTGGCCACTATAATTCCCTCGCATGATAAGCCACTGTGATGAGTTATCACGTGTGGGCAGGTCGCCTCTGAAAAAAAAGCTCATAGCTCAGTGGGCTGAGCTGGAGATGATCACAAAGACGAAGATCACTCGTGTAGCATTAACATATTGTTGAGGCAAGTGCTGTTAGCGAGCACCTATGAAGGCTGGCACGGCACACGAGCGGATGGGGAGCCAACATCACGCATGGCCGCCTTTGTCTCCTTTGTGGCGATGTTTACAAATCGCATCAGGTACTAATTTGAGGCCGAGTCGATCTAGGGGAGGCCCAGGACCAGTTCAGATAACCGCTACTAGTGTTGGCTGTGAGTGGGAATCGAACCCGGGTCACCAGTTCGTAGCGCAGCGCGCTAACCGCTCCACAGAAACACCCACATTTTAAATACACGTTTCATGCAATTCACTGCTTCTCTTGGTGATTTTTACTCACACCGTATTAACATCGGTAATATTTGCAGGTACTATAACCAATAATACACGCGTGAAAGCAGATGAATACGAGTAATGACAACAGCACAGCAGTTACGGTCTTAATATAAAATAAAAAAATAATCTTCAGGAATAATATCAGCTCCAACAGCAACATTGAAAGTAACAAGGGCCAGAGGCAGAGCGTGCGCACTTTCCAAAGGATTGGGGTGGGTTTGGGTGGGACGCCTGGGGGCAGTCCCTAATTTTCCATCTTTTGAAATAGGGCCCTAGGTTAATATAAAAAAATCACAGTTTTTCTGTGGTAAATATCAATAAAACAGCTATTTTGATCCACCACTCTGATAATACGATGGACAACAGTAGCATTTAATGAAATCAGCTATAAAGTCACCGCGTTACCTGAAAACCCCTTTATCGGGATGTTTTGCCCAATGTCTGTATATCGGAGGAAATCCATGTGACATAGGGAGCACATGAAACACTACAGCGACCTACTTGCTGCACTGCTTTTGCCTAAATATGATGTACAACACAAGATCTCTGTGCACGTAAATTCAACATGTTGAACTTATTTCGCACCATATGTAGCTAACCGTGCTGATCGGAGGTGGAGGATTATGTTGGTTTGAGAGGATTGATGATACATTTTAGCTTTTGTTTTGAGGTTCTCAGTACCAAGAAGAACTGTAGGGGAGAGAGAGAGAGAGAGAAAGGAGACAATGGATGGTGGAGGTAAAGCAGACGCTGCATTATCGAGAAGAGAAAGTCATTGGCAGTGAAGACGAGGGCGACTTTGAGCCCGGGCTTCAACATGTGACGTAGGATGACACAATTGCAGACAACAAGGGGGCAGCTACAGAAAATGAGGAACCTGTCGAGTGAAGGTTGCCTGGAGGATTCTTAAAGGAGGACTTGATTACTGGAGTCGGAGCGCATACGGAGGGAAGTAGAGCGGAACGCGAGGGGATGGGGAGGTGGGAGCGAATCCATGGAGGATCTATTGTAGTTGCTCCAGAGCTGACCTGGGAGCCAGTGGAGGGATTGGATTACTCCGTACAGAATTCGGGTAATGTGGTCTCCTTTATGGGTGAATGGTGATGAGTCTTGCAGCAGTATTCTGGATCACCTGCAGTTTAGAGACGAGGGATTGTTGGGGGGGGGGGGCGACAGAAGGAGAGAGTTGCAGTCCTTCAGCCACGATGCGATGAAAATATGGATAAGGGTCCAAGCAATGGATGGGGCGTGGAAGTGGCGGATGCGGAAGATGTGCCGGTGGAGTCATATTTGCTGGTTCAAGAGCCGTGGAATATTGCGTTTACTCCACGACGGTGGAAGCGAATAAACCAATTTCATTGTACCCACTTCTTATTTATTTGTTGAAAAAAAAGTTTACCTGGGAAATCCCTTGAGATGTAACATCTCATTGCCTAGGCTGTCCAGGGTGTCACTTGACACACATAGCAAAACACATTATGCCTTTCAACAGCCATTTTGTTTCGAATGAAACAAAATTGAAACAGAAATATTCACGAATGTTTCAGGCGTATTGGCTTAAAGACAAATTCTTCAAATCTATATAATAATAATGTAAGGCCCTTTACCGATTCAATGCTAGATGGAGGCCCTTCCCACACTGTGTCAGTCATGGGGGTTGTTTGACCATACTTCACCCATGCAGGTTGGTGAAGTGTAGGTAGGCCCAGGACCGAGTTCAGGTTTCGCTCGCCACTGAAGTTCGCCACGGCGAGTTCATAACTCAGTTTGCTCACCACATTTGACCCAATATTTAGATAACACTCATTGCCCACGGTGCAATGGAAAGTGCGTGCTCTGTAACAGTGGGGTGCACGCGGGAATAATAAACGAGCTGCTGGCAGGGGGCCGCAGGGGCACGTGTGGCAATGGGGCGGCCAAATGCCTCACAAATCACGAGTTTTCAAGTTTCATGTATTAGGTATAGCCCTGTGAAGCCATGCGGCTCTTAAGTCGGGTGCAACCGCAACAAATTGCCCACGTGCCGCCGCGTGGTCAACGATGACATTTTTATTCTGAGCACGAGCGGTTGCAAGCCCGGTGATGCAATCCGTTGGCTGAGGATCCTCTTTCGTCGAAACACGTGCATGACTGAAACAGGCGAACCAGAGACATTGACGAATTACCATTCGACAGTGGCAAGCGTGCAAGCTGCATTTCCATTATGCCAATGATGGTGAGTTATATATGCCTATAGAGGTTTTTTTTTATGTTAGATCGCGTAAATGTGTGTCGTTATACCCACCACCACCTGACACAGCCAACAAGTAAGGGTTGTCACATAAAAAGATCATTTCAATTCGTCACTAGTACAGCACACCGGTGTGTTGGAGAGCCAAGCCACAACATTTACAATCTGAGTACGACGTTTCGCTAGTAATTACAACTAGCTTCTCCAAATGTTGTGGCTTGGCTCTCCAACACACAACCGGTGTGCTGTACTAGTGACGAATTGGCCACGTTTTGTTTACGTGACAACCCCTACTAGTTGGCTGTGTCGGGTGGTGGCGGGTTTAACGACACATTTATATATTTACGCAATCTAAACCAAAAAACCTTTATTATGGATGATATTGGTCGCGAAAGCCGACGTGTTAAACGATATACTTCTATGGTGTTTTCATTTACGAAAAAAGTAGTTTTGTTTTTTGATGAACACGAACCGCGTGCTGTGCGTGCCCCCTTGCTGCAGCGAGCG